ATCTATCTATCTATCTATCTATCTATCTATCTATCTATCTATCTATCTATCTATCCTGTTGGGCAGGTTCACAATAAAATAAGTGAGAGCAACGGCCGGCGACGTAGACGAGGGAATGTATAACGAAATGGACGTGCAGATTGTTTCTGCCCGGTTTTTTATATTGCTACATGTCTCATCTTTTTCTTTTTGGTAAAGGGGTGGGTGGATGGTGGGGTACAGGTGGAGGGAAGTAAAATAACAGAGGGGCACATATTTTTTTGTCGTTGTTTTTTTCAACGATATTTTCGCTTATTTTGTCTCATTCAATCATACTAACTAAAATTATGCACTATGTTCCCCCACAGGATCCCCAGAGAAAAAACTTGGAAATTTTTTTTTTCAAGTCCAAGTATGGGGTCTCCCCACAACAATGCGTTCAGTGTTGGGGTGCTGTTGAGTTTGTCTCTAGCGGTCCTTTGTAAGTATTGCTTTAGTTTCAAGTTGTTAGATTGGACACCCTCTTGTCAGCATAGTACCGTGGTCATTTTCTAAGAAAATGCTAGGCTTTTAATGTCAGTTATGGTTTCGACAGAATTGGGGTAGAATTGGGCAGCCGTAAAGTAAGATTTCTATAGGGAAAACAACCCTTGGAATCCTCATTTGATTTAAGTAGGAAAAACGCCCAGAATACTACACCACTCCACAATATGTACTTCGAAAATCAATAGAACTTGTTCTGTAGACCATCAGTCCAAGACGATCACCTGTACAGACAACGACTTCCTATCCCTCCTCCGTTTTTGCAAGGTTTTTTTTCGAATCACTCACTTGAATACTTGAATGTAGAACTGGGGTCCTAAGAAGACGGGGTGCTCCATGCTTCCTTGCCCCTCTTCATGAGGGTCCATTTCAGTGTGGGCAGGCTCATTGTCTCCATCATCAGCTGGTTATTGTAGCCTCGAGATTATAATGATACTGTCCAAGAGGAACACCTCTTTAAGATTACCACTTTTCTCCTCGACCATGGATAGTAGGCAGTCGCTTTGGAAATGTTCGAGAGCACTTATGGTGTGGTGTGGTTTTATTTATCGTCCTTATAAAAACTGTTAGGTGAATTAAGCTGAACCTCCAGATTTGATCAGAAAAGATAGATAAGATTATGCTTTATTGTCCTAGTAGGAATTTTTCTTGGCTGTAAAAACACATGCAGATATAATGTTTAGAACTTAAATTATAAACTGCTTTCAAAACAATTCAATATGAAGAGAACGATTTATCATTTGACGTCCAACTCCAATAGGATCGAGTCAGCTGTGCGGATAACATGAGAAACTCTCAATATGTTCCATGTTTAAAAGCGCCCTCTTGAGATTCGAACACGGTTATTCCCATACAGGTCTGACACCATACCAACTGAGCTATTGGTGTGTCTGTCACAGACTGAATGATACCGCTCCCTATCTGTTCACTATGTTGGTACATGAGTGGGATGTCCCTATACAGATAAATATAAACTAATTGTATGAAAAGCCTTTAACAAAACATTATGCGTGGCTACTGGCCCCATTGGTTAAAGCTGCAAACAAACGGCTTATAGAAATATTACACACGCACATGTATTTGAAAAATGAATGTTAGAGTACTGTTAGGATTAAAAGAGTGCTTTAATTCTTCTTCTTTGTATCATATAAAGTCAAAAAACGAATGAAACATTCTCTTCTCAGTTACATCATCTTGCGTACACTGCCAAGAATACCCAACCTATGGAGGATTCAAGAACAATAAAAATGAGCCCACATGGGGCATGGCAGGTATGTAGTTATTTGTACTGAGTGTTTCCTTATCATTATGTTGAACCACAGTTACCTATTAAGTGCTGCATATTGTTAGTAATAGATCTAATCTTCTCTGATATGCTTTCTATATTTACTTATTTTCAAAGCGGGGATTGTCATACAAAGAAAGAATAGGGCATCCATGTAGAGGCAGATGATAGCTGCGTGCTCTGGCAGGATTTGCTTTTTCAATTTCCTTTCAGTGTGCTTATAATCCTAATATTATATTCCTAGTAATTGAAATAATATGTGATTGCTCAACGTGGTCTCAAATGTAACATATTGCAAGGCATATTGAACGATAAAATAGGAAGACGGACAGAGAAAGAAAAATACACACATATACACGTAACATAGATGCGCATACATATAACATACACACATAAATACACGTATTGATACATTCACAAAAACATACACACAAACACACAAACACACAAACAACACACGCGCACGCGCACACAGAGCATACCCACATAATATGACACAAACACACATGGACAGAAACATACATAAATACAACACACTCATTCACACTCACAAATACACAACACATACTATTTATTTACACGCACACAGAAATACACACGCAAAGTGTGCTGGCGCATTACAATTAAACAGATAAAAGGCAACAGGAAGAGAAGAAAGTTTGTCCGTTAGAATTAAAATGGACTGCATTTGACCCCCATTTGATCCCTAGAACAGCTAAAATTATCAGATTCATGGAACGAAGAAAATGAAGTCCTAACTGACTCAGAGAC